CAGCACCTGGTAGGAAGAGGAAAGGGCATTTCTGATGCCTAAAGGTGGTTTATTTTCTTGCTCATGCTCCTGGCAGTCTGACATAGTCTTATGACATGTGGATGAAGCTGAGAGTGAGGCTACTCAAAACGCAGACCGTTGCCTGCAATGAAATCTCACCCTTTGCTCCTGGAGCTTGCTAGAGCCAGCTGAAAACAGGAGGCAGATCGGGAGCCTCAGCCAGGTTTAACCAGCTGCGTTCCCCTGCCTCACGAGAGATGCCCCCATGGCTGTTAATGGGGCTACTGGGAGCATCGCTCCCACTTCTGTACTTGCAGTGAAGCTGCAGATATTGCAAGTATGTCAGTGAGCCACAAAACATGGTCCCTGGAGAGGACAGAGGGACTCAGTCCCCATCACAGCATCAGCCCCCTTATTTTTGGTCCTTCTCTCCATCAGCGAGTTGCCAGGCTCTTTGTATAGACCCTGCCTCAACTCTTGCATGAATAATAATAATAATTTAGTCAGTCCCGTCCGAGGCAGGACAGCTTTCTGTTACTCATCAGCCATCAGCAGTTAGGTAAAGTATGTTTGATGCTAACTCTTCTTGCTCCAATTGCAATGCAGGGCTCGGAGCATTGGGTATTTATAGAGAGAGAAACTCCTAGGCTGGAAGCAGTAGCTCTAAAGAAAGTGCTGGGAGTCAAGAAAGAAGAAGCACATGCAGGTACAACAGAGGTGAGAATGAGCGCGAGCACCCCAAAAGTGGAGATGGCAGTAGGGAGAGCCAAGGAAGTGGCAGGCCAGGAAGAGCCAGCAGATGTGGTCCTGGTTAGCCGGACGAGAGCAAAAATGATCGCTAGTCCAGAGGATTTTGAGTCTGTCTGGGAGGATGAGATCTATGAGAAGGAAACCAGGGGGAAGCCCGGCCAGGAGGCAGAGCACCCACCAGCCGAGAGCGCAGAGGAGGAGCCCCAAGAGCGGGGCAAGGAAGCAACTGCCAGCGACCCAGGTCTGCCCAAGCCATGTCAGCAGCCTCCAGAGAGGCAAAAGGCCAAGATTTTGGGGCCAGAGCCTCCCCAGGGAGAAAGCGAGATGGTATGCAAGGAGCGTGTTTCTGCAGCCACCAGGAAGCAGGAGGCCCGAGTGCTGGCCGCAGCCACGGAGGTCGTGAAAGTTAAAGTGAAGGCTGGCGACGACAGCTCGGAGACTTCTGTGACCCAGAGGATCATCTACTTAGGAGATCCAGAGGGAGAGGAGAAGGACAGCAAAACTGCCCGGCTCTTGGAGGCTGGTGGATGGCTTGGCTTGGAGGAGAGCCCAGAAGGCCCTGTGAACACATCTAGGGAGGGACCTGGGCACACAGCACCTGCGGCAGGAGGGTCCCAGCCCCCTTCCTCAGCAGGTCAGAAGCAGCCGTCGGTGACCGAAAAACCGGCTGGAGCACTAGAGCAGCCTGAGACCGGCTGTGATGAGACCGGCCTGGCAGGACATCCCACCCCGTGGCAGGAGGAAGGGGTGATGGACTGCGGAGCACCCCAGGGGGATGAAGCCCCACCGTGTTACTCAGAGGTGGGACCAGAGCAGACAGATCTGCAAAGCCCAGTGGGAGGCTTGAAGCCACACGACCTGGCAGGGGACAACTGCGGGGCTGAGAAGCACGGAGGGAGCCCAGCACAGAGCCCGGACATCTGCACAGCATTAGAGGAGCTCTCAGGAAGGGTTGAAGTGGACAGCGAGAAGGATGAAAGTGCTGGAGTGGTCCTTCAGATGGAAGAGATAGAGACCAAGTCACCCGTGTCAGCTGTGCCTCAGCAGAGCCACCCGCACACCACTGTGGGGTGGGAGAGGGGTGAAGCCAGCCCTGTCCCTTCAGAGCCAGAGGGCAGAGAGCTGTGCCAGGGCCCCAGCCCTGGCTGGGGTGTGGACTCACCCAAGGATGCGAACCCCTTGGCGGAGGTGGCACGCAAGGAAGCGAGCCCTGCAGCGGGCCAAGGAGCGCCCAAGAATGTGAGCCCTGAGGCAGAGGCGGCAGTACCCAGGGGGATGTATCCTGAATCTGAAGAACAACCCCAAGATGTGGGCTTTGCTATGTGGAAACCACCCCAAGGTGCCAGACTTGTTGCAGGAGGACCGCCCCAAAACACAGACGCTGCAGCAGAGCCAATCCAGGTCAGAGACCCGGCCACAGGGGAGGTCGCGCAGGACATGGCCCTTGTCACAACCCAGAGCAAAGTCCCTGCCACAGAAGAGCTGCTCCGGGAGGATAAGTTCATGATAAAACAGCTCTCCCAGGACACAGGACCCACATCAGAGAAGTTGACCAAAGATGAAGGCTGTGGGATGGTAGAACCATCCCATCACAGAAGCCCTTGTATGGACAAGCTGCCTGCCAAGACAGAAGAACCAGAACAAACTGAGGCCGTAATAAGAGAGCTGTCCCAAGAGGGTCCTGCGGCTGGAGGCCTGCTCCACACTGCAGATCCCAAAGCACAAGAGTCACCCTGGGACTTGGAGATTCATGACCTGCAGGCCAGGAGCCCTACAGTAGGAGGAACCTCCAGGGACAGTGAGCTTGCTCTGGGGCAGCCGCCCCAGGATAAGTCCCTTCCCAAAGAAGCTGCTGATGTCCCACACTCCCAATCTCCTGTAGCAGGATTGTCTCAAGAAAGCAAGAGGTACCAGCTCTCTAACTTGGTCTGTGAAGGCAGAGGAGAGCTGCAAGCGAGTGGTGGGACACATCAGGTAGAGTCTGGGTTGCTGATGTGTGTGGCTGGGAAGGCAGGAGCTGTGTCCCAGGAGCATGGAGATGTCCCTGTGGCCTCAGGCAGCTGGCAAGAAAGCGACAGCTACAGGAAAACCTCCGTGGCCTCGAAGATTAAGATGTTCGAGCAAAGTGAAGCAGAGCAGAGGGCAGCCCAGGAGGGCCAAGAGCGAGTGCCTGAAGCTGAGACTTCAGCAAAAGCGAAAGGGAAGATGGCTCTGGCGCAGGACGTGCCTGTGAACCTTGCTTCACCACCAGTAGGACCTGCGCCCAGCGTGGGTTTCTTGGCTCTCAGGCAAGGGGCAGGCTCAGGAGATGCCTCCCAGACGCTCTCACTGAAGGAAGATGTTTCTGTTGACCTGGAGCACGAAGCAGAAGACAGTGCTGACCTGGCCTCCCCCGACTCTGGCTGCGAACTCACTCTGGTGGAAGCCGTGGTAACTCTTCCAATGAACTGTCCGGACGGAAAGTTCATGCGCATGTTGTGTGCCTCTTTATTCTCATGTCCAGTGGCTCCTCACACATCCATTGACTGAGAGCGGTCGCTTTGCATCCCCTGTCCTTTCATGTATGTTTGTGTGGTCGGGCTTCTTCGCTGAATGCAGACCCGCTGGCCACTTGGCTCATCAGCTTTTGTTTGTGACTACCCCGCCCCAACATTTTGGCTCTCTGGAGAATGCCGCTCACTAAACACGAGAGCGGGCACCCAAGCTCCGTGTCCAGGAGCGAAAAAGGGAGATGGGGGGTGGCTGAAGGAGCTGCACCTCTGTCCCGGACACGCATACGCACCCAGCAGCAGCGTGCCCACGCTTCCAGCTTCACCTCGCATTTCTTACATTGATCCCTTCTTGCTTAGCTCCCGGCCTCCCCTGCCCTCCCCTGTCTTCAGCAAGCTGGTGGCTGGATGATGAAATAGCTTTCTTGGCTCTCCTCAGCGCTAGATGAGCTCCTGTCGAGTTCATTTCGTTACGACTAACCATTCTCTCTAATCCAGAGCAAATCTCGGGAACCAAGTGGGGAAGAAAAGGATTTATCTGACCCGTCCTTAAAATCCAGCCAGACAGAAGAGAATTTAAAGACTGCTGTTCCAGTGGTCTTCCAGGTCTCAGTGCTGTTTTACTAACTGCTGCTTACCGTAGTCTGAAAGCTCACCTTAATCAGCTGAGGGCTGTGTGCTTCCAGCTCCTCTCCCATTGCAGAGCTGTTTTGTATGTATTTATGCATACACACACGTGACAACACATATGCAGGTGTGCTCCTCCTGAGTTTGTTTGACACGCTGTTTCTCATACCTCTCAACCTCCCAGCAGTGCCAAGGGACGGTTGTGCCGGCGCAGCCTGGCCTGTTGCGGGGCCCAGGCGCTGGGCATCCTCTGGCATCGATGGGCTTGGAGCTCTTCCTAAGGGAGAACTGCCTGGAGTGAGATGCGAAGCCCAGCAATGGGTCTGCATTTCCCAAAACCCGAGATGGGTCTAGATTTTCCTAATGGCTTCCTGGCAAAGCATGGCGAGGGGAAATGTACCCTCTGATGGCGGAGTTGAGAGGTATGCCCGTTTCTGGAGGGGAGCAAACGGAGGGAGGTCATCCCTTGGCTCTGACTGTGCTGTCAATTACACTGACCAAACGCTCCCCCAGGTCAGCCCTGAGACCCCCTGGAGGAGGAGCGTTGTGCTGGGGAAAAATTCACCCCCTGCCCCCAGTGCATGGCTGCTCCTCCTCCCCCTGGGGCGATGCTCCATAGGGCCCAGGCCCATGCACAGTGGAATTGGCACACTCCTTTGCTTCTCCTTCACCCTGTGTGGCTGATGGGGCCCTTTTCTTTCAACCTCTTCTCTCTTTCTTTCCCTTTGTTTTTTTTTTTTTGAGTGCCCGACCTTACTGACATATGATAGCGCTGGCGTCTGAGCTGTTCCTGAATGTTTCTTAACAGACCTGTTGTTTTGCATACATCTGCTTCCAGCGGGTGCACTGACGTGTCTCTGAGCTGACCGAGCTTTTCTGTGTGACTGACCTTTATTTTTTGAGATTATTAATTACCAATAGACTTCTGGCACACTCCCCGCAAAGTCGCTGCTGTCAGAAAGGTTTCAGTCTCCATGCTTGAGTTGTGTTTGACTCTACTCTGTGATGTTTGCTGCAGCCTTCTTTCTCCTCCTCCTCCTCCTCTTCCCCCCTGTCCCCGTTGGCGCTGCCGGTGCTGCCGCGCCTCGCGGTGCTCACTGTCTCCGTCTCTCTCCGCCATTGTGTCTCATTCAGAGAGCAGGCTTGAGGGAGGGCGCCGAGGAGAGAGCTAAGCCACCTCGGCACAGGGCTCATGAGAGCGACACCGGTGACGAGGAGCAGGACCAGGAGAAGGACTCAGTCTTTCTGAAGGACAACCACTTGGCCATCGAGCGCAAGTGCTCCAGCATCACGGTCAGCTCAACCTCCAGCCTGGAAGCAGAGGTGGACTTCACAGTGATCAGTGACTTCCATGGCACAGCCTTTGAGGACATCTCGCGGAGCCTGCCTGAGCTGGACAAGGACAAGAGCGAAACAGAAGAAGAAGGCCTGGTTTCCTTCCAGCACGCTGACAAAGTAGTTCCTGGACTGGAAGAGGATGTCAAAGGCGGGCAGAAGGTCTCCCAGCCCAGCCCAGATGTCTCCCAGCTAGAGGTATACAGGGATGCCGTTCCACCAAGACTGTCTCAGTGCCATCGTGCAGTTCTCTGTGTTCCTTGTCCCGGTGCCTGGTGTGCACTCCCACATTGGTTTGGAAGAGCATGCTAGCTTTGAAACACCCCTGGTTCCTGGCCGGTGTGGCTGTTTGCCGCCGGTGCGCGCTCACATCTGTGTTGCATGGCTCTGCTGTGTGTTTTGTGCATCTGCTAACCAGAAGACACTGCAGTCATCTCTAGGAGCCCTGTGTTTGGCTGCTTACCCCATCCCTCACACCACTGCATCCGGGCAGCAGGGAAGGGTGCATGTCACTAACGACCCTGTCCTCGTGTTTTGCATGAAGTGATCAGTTTGTGTTGGGAAGCAAGCTGTCCTGACAGCTCACCCCTCTGGACACACCATGGCGGGGAGGGAGCCACCGAGTAGCGCATGGGAGCCGCTCCAAAGCTCGCGGGGGCTCGCCTCAGCGCCGAGAGCAATTGTAACAGAGCTAAGAAAAATGCATGTGGCATGCGTGTGGGCATTGGGTGTGTGTCCAGGGAGAGAACAGCAGAGCCAGCTCCAGCTCAGACGAAATGGAGCCTTGCCTCTGTGCCAGGCTGGGGCCATCTCCTGCCCAGTCAGCCCTCGGTCCTAGCAGGTAAGTTCCAAACACAGCCTGGAGCTGCCAGGGTGGGTGCAGACCTGGAGCAAGAAAAAAGCTGCAGAGTTGGAAGGAGCTTTCTCTGAGCCAGTCTGGAAAGCCTCATGTGGAGCATCCGGGTCATGGTTGGGCCATGGACATGGGTGCACAGCTCCACAGTGCCCCGTGGCTCTCGTGGGGCAGGGGAGGCCACTGTCTGAGGAACGCTGAGCCCTGGCTGCACATCTCTGTGCCCTTGGCAGCTCCAGTTCCCTGCAGTGGGGAGCACTGGAAACCCGACTTCATTCCCCCAAGGTTCGGACGCCCCAGGGTTAACCACATCCACAGGAACTGGTGCAGCTCATAAACTTGCGGCAGGGCGTGAGTGAAACGGATTTGGTGGGTCTTACCCACCTTTTGAAGACCAGTTTGACCTAACCCATGGTGTCTATAAGTCTGTCCAAAAAAGAAATCCCTGCCAAATCTGGGGCCAGAGTAGCAGGTCTGGTCTGGGGTATGGCAATCACACAGGGCACTTTGCATGGTGGCCATCTGCCCCGGGCAGCAGCCTTGGCCTCTGCTCCTTGCCCAGGTAGGGCCTGGCGTGACACTTGCAGAGTGTCCTGCGTGTGTGACACTTGCAGAGTGTCCTGCGTGTGTGACACTTGCAGAGGAGCGGGGTGGGGACGCTCTGCTCACGGGGACTGGTGTGCGAGGAGCGCTCAGGGCTGATGGCGGCGTGCCCCATTGCCTGACTCGCTGTGTTTCTGCTGCAGTCATCAGCCCCGAAAGCAGGTGCTGTGACCATCGACCCAGGGCCAGGCGTGAAGAAGCTTGAAGCAGACGGCTCCACTCCCCACCAAGTCAGCACCGCAGACGCGGCCCAGGTGACATGGTGGGCCCTGCTCCCCAATGGCTCTGCCAAGCAAAACCTGTCCCCAGGGAGGGGAGGGCGCTGAGTCGGGTGGTCAGAGGCTTCTGCTCAAACTTGTCTTTCTGGTGTCCCCAAAACACTAAACCAAAGCCCACCCACAGATACTCCATGTGTGTCCCTTGGCCCATCTGCTGTGCTGCTGGGCAGCACTGGCACATGGGGACGTCACCAGAGGGTGACAGCCACCATCCATGCTGTACCGTGTGTGTCTGTGGCCTCATGGCCCTCCCCAGCTTCCTCTGGCAGCAAGGCTGCCCGCAGCATCCCTGCAAGTGTCCCCCCTCTCCCTGGCACCTCCAGGCTCACCAGGTGTCCTCTCTTGTGGCAGGGCGAAGGAGGCTCCCTGGGCAGCGCAGAGGTGGCACTGGCGACCTCGGTAAGCGGGGCTGACTCCCTCTGCTCTGGTGAGGGTGACTGGGGCTGGCCATGCTGGGGGGGGGACCCTGCCCCACCAGGGATGTCTGTGGAGGGTGACCTGCTGCGTTTTACCCCTCCGTTGCATCCAAGCCAATGCACCCTCCTGCT